CCCCCCCAATCTGGTAAGGGATAGGAATTAATTTTGTAATGAACTGAAATTTTTTTTATTTAAAACAAGACAATATAACTTCAAGTTTGCTATTTTTATAAGTTAGTGGAACATCTTTTGTAGCTTTAGAAAAGGATTTTATTTTTCAGAGAGGATATTGGTTCACTTCTAGAATCCACAAATGAGAAGCATTACTTAGTCCTTAAGAATAAAGAGAGAGACTACTAAGAAACTTTGGATACAAATTTTTTCATTTCCATGATTTATGCAGAAGATTCTAAAGTGGAAGTGTTGCAGATATTGGAATTTTGTCATGGTGCCAAATGCAGAGTTTGAGAGATCTGTATATGAGTACGTGCTTGGGTGTTTTGAAGGTGTATACAGGGGTGTAGGTTGTAGCCGTGTTGGTCTCGGGACATAGGCAGACAAGGTTCTTTGGCTATAAAATTTTTTCCAACTATTTAAGTTGGTCTAATAAAATATACCATATTAACCCAAAGAACCTTGAAGGTGTATAGAGATTTGCACACTGTCTGAAGTAAAATATTAGCATGTTTCAAAATTGATTGTATTTTATGATCAGTCAAAATGACTTGGTTCTGATATTTCAAAAGAGTAGTCTAGCATATGGTAATTAGTTACTAATTAATAAAGAGAGCAAAGTAAATGATGATCTTTCATCATTGTATCTGGCTTGTTTGAAAACCTTTGGAATAAATTTTCAGAATTTTAAATGGTAAGGTGGGGGGAAAATTCGTTCAGTGCTAAACAAGAAAAACTTGTTTTGGAGGCTCTTGGATACATGCAAAGCTTTTTCCTTCTCTGATTCTGGGAAGATAGAGATTGACTTCTTTTTAAAAAAAAAAAAAATGCATCTCAGTTGGAAAGAAGAATGCTTTTTTTGGTACTTGGCTACTAGAATTAAGAAAGAGCAAGGATGAATTGGCCCCTTCTTTCCTTATCAAAAAAACCCCACAATAACACAAATGACACAGGTCAGGTAATTTGAGAGAGATGGAGCTCTATGCCATGCTAGTCAAAGAAGGCCAGCTCCATAAAAGTTGAACTCTGTTTATAAACAATTCATAACTTTATCCCATTTTGCCTAGGAAAAAGACCAGCCCAAGGACAAATCTTGGCTTCTGCTGCGCCAGCTCAGAAAATTACCAAACCTGCTGCAAAATATGGAGTGCCTTTAATAATCAAGAAATCTTGTGATGCACCTAAGAGATATTATGAAAAAAAGCCACTGGTTAAATGTAGGCAGGTAAGGGTATATCTGATGGCAATAATTAAGATGCATTCATTTTCAGGTTTTTTTTAAGTACTTGAACTTTGAGGCATAACTCCACTACAAACTTTGGTACTTGGCTAATGGTAATTTGATTCTGGCACTGTAGTGAAACACACTATGCTGTTCTACATAGGCAAACAGAAGCATTGTAACAGTCCATCCCCATGCAGAAGTAGTGTGGCTACAACTGCCATGTGCTATAAACAGGCTTATTAACACTACCAATTAGACCACCAGTGCTGCAGGAATGAAGTTATGCTGCTTTCAGTTGTGAAAATCCATAGCTTGAAGATAGAAGCCCAATGTGTTTTGAAGGTTCCATCGGTTGACATGAATTTACTGTATTTATTACTATTTCTTCTCATAACATCTTTTGTACTGACATGTGTATATAAGCTGGAAGTTATTTTCTTTTAGATGAAGCAAGCTAGTTATTCAACTTGTAAAGATGTTGATGAAATTTTGGAGACTGCCATCATTTGTTAAGTGTTGTTACTGTTAAATTGGTTGTGACTTCTGTCTGCGCACAAAAGCAAGATCAATTAAAGCATACAACCTTGGGAGTACTATACTTCAAAAGTGCAAACTTGCACTTCACCCTATACTGCAGTTTTCCTGCTCTAACAAAACTATAATACCAGATGGGGGCATTTATACATGTGCTCTGTAAGCCACTCTAATTAAAATGCCTGCAGCATCACATGTATTCAGCATCCATGCTTCAAAATGGCAGTTGGGACACATTAACTAAAGCTTATTCCACAAGCTTTAGTTAAAGCACCCCTGCCGCCATTTTGAAATGCAGGGACTTTGAATACATATCACATGGAGGCTGCTGGAGCACACTAATTAGTATGCTCCAGTAGACTTGGTAATTGGCACGCATTGGAGCGGAGCTGCATCACAAGTATAGGTACCCTGAGATTTGAAACCCAGGTTTCCCCGTTGTCAGATCTGCCACCAACCTGCTGTGGGACCTGATCAGCCATTTTCCTTGTTTTTGTACCTAAAAATGGGATAATTTTACAACTTTATTTGTAAAGCATTTTTAGATCTCCTGATCACCATGAATTTGAGTTATGTGAAAATATGGTTATTTTTGGATAGTTCTCTTTTTAATATCTTGGAGGTTTCTGGTGCATTTTTTTTGTCTTGTTCTACAGTTTTCACCAACTCAAATTCATGGTGATCATTGGCTTACATATTTAATTTGATTCCTTGTGGGATGGCCAATCTAAGGCATGCCTGCCAAAAGTGACATGGACAGCCTCTGTGTGTGCCATGAGGCAAATCAGGAGGGGTTTCAGGGAGTACAGCTGCAGATGGGACAAGGAATAGAAAGCAGAGCAGGAGATCAGGCAGGGGGAGGGGATTAGAGTGGGTGGGACTTTGTGGCATGCCTGCCCAAAAGGTTGGCTTCCACTGGAATGCACAATTTATGCTCCACAGCACAGTGTACTTTTCAGAGACTACATTTATGTGGAGAGTCGTACAGAAGTAGGGCTAGAAGGGACCTCCAGAGGTCACGTAGTCCAACCCCCTGCCCGAGGCAGGATCATTCCCATAAAAATCATAATCTAAACTCTGTATAAGCTCACTGTCAGCCCTGCCGCAACACAGACCTAACACTGTAACCTGCCACAGCAGCCAGTGTCTTGCTTCTATGAAATATTATCAACGTATGTTCAAGAGGTCCTTGGTAGAGGGCCACACCCCCTGATAGAGGAAGGCAAAAACCCCCACAGTCCATACCAATCTACCCATGGGGTAAAATTCCTTTCTGATCCCAAATATGGTGATTGGCCTGACCCTGAGCGGAAGGGCAAGACTGTCTAGACAGGAACCTCTGGCTTTGCTTCCATCAGGAGCATTGGCACATCCCAGTCAAAGTCCCCAACTTGACTATAGCCAACACTCGATACCTGTGAGGAAGGCTTAAACACTGACACACAGCAGAAAAGTTCTGAGGGGGAGGAAAGGGCAGGGGCAACCAGCAAAGCCTAGAAGCATGGAAAATGCCCATGGTAGAACATAGGTGTAGCAATGCCTAAATCATCCTCAACCAGTGGCTGTCCAATGAGAGACGTAACAAAACTGTAGCAGTAAACACTTATACAGTTGAAAGGTTGAGTTACTTTTTTTTTTTTTTAAATAAAGAGAAATTATGCATTTTTGAAAGGCATACCAGTGAATTATTGGTGAATTAAAATTTTATTGCATGTCTGAATCACTAGTGGAATTTTTTTATCTTAGTAGCATACTGTGGAAAGCGTAGAAAGAATATAAATGTGTAGTTAGAGGAGATGACTGGCATGAAGGTATGGCCTTCACTCTTTTAACTACACTGAGTCATTCAAGGCTGAGATCATATGTACAGTAAAAGCCCTGTTATCTGACATTTTACCCTGCACTGTTGCTGCTCCACCTACAGGCGCTGCCACCCCCCTTCATTCCTTGTCCGGCTGGAAGCCCCTGTGCCTCAGGTAACCAGCATTTTTAGCTTACCGGCACCCCCCAGCCCCCCTATTTCTCACTCATGCCAGGAAACAGGGCTTTTACTGTATCACAAGGATAGGTTGGTGCAACTCATCTGAATAAGATAGATGGTAGCACCCATTGAGCACAGTCCCCATCAGCACTGACTTTCAGGTCTTGGTGAATCTACTGAATGCATTTCAATTTCTTCTTCACTCCCACAGCTGAACTGTACTTTTCTTTTACATTTCCAATGATTCCCGTTTCTTTGCCAGCTTTAAATTAGAGGTGCACTGATATATTGGTCACATATTGGATCAGCACTGATAAAAGGAAAATTAACATGATCAGCAATCGACTTTTTTTGACTGGTGTAGCTAATTAATGTCACTGATAAATGCTGTGTGCATGCGCACAGCTGCAGCACACACCTGGCCAGGATTGCAGCCCTGCAGCTTGGAGAGCAACCTCCTGCCAGTAAGTCTGGGGGGGTGGGGAAGGGGAATGGGGAGGCAGATCAAGGCCCACATGATGAGGGAGAGAGTGTGTGGGATGGGCAGGGGCAGGTGCTGTCCAATCAGGGCGGTGAATGCGATCCCAGGAGCGGGATGGAGCCACAGGTGGCTTGTCTGGGGAGTGGAGGGGCACGGCTCCCCACCACTGTACACACCCCTGGATTTGTGAATGGGGCAAAGGCAGGGCTAGAGGCCAGGGGCTGCACCAGCCTCTTCCTGACTGGGCGGGGGCCTGGGTCAGGGCTGCACTCAGGGCAGACAGTGGCACTGGGAAGGGTGGCTATGGAGAATTTTGGGGTTGCTGTTGCCCACCTCATAGCCGCCCCTCCCAGTGCTGCCACTACCCTCCCTCAGCTCAGGCCCAACCCAGGCCCTGCTTTCCCCACTGCGAAGAACCAGGTGCAGCCCCTGGCCCTGAGCCTGCAGTGGGCAGCCTTTCCTCTCCCCATGCACAAATCCTGAATCACACATGACCCTCATGCCTCCCTTGGGGCTGTGTGCAGTGACAGGGAGCCGCCTCCTGGACTAGCTGCCTGTGGCTCTGCCCTGCCCATGGGGGTCACATTCACTGCCCTGGCTGGGTAATACCTGTCTCTGCCCCACTGCTTCCCTCACCATGGAGGCCTGTCCCTGCCCCATCCTCCATGCCCCTTTTCCACAGACTTACCAGCAGGGAGCTGCTCTCCAAACTGCTGAGCTGCATATTGGCTATCAGATCAGCATTGGCCAATATGGTTGGTTAATAATCAGCCCTCGGTATCAGCCAAAAATTCTTTATTGATGCACCTCTACCTTAAATATCTGGCAAACATCACGAAACAGGTCTTCAAGCAGTTCACCCAGAATCCCTCTGTCGACCCCTCTCTCAGCCTGTCACCTATGATTAGTGTGGCCCTGCCCTCCATGAGGAGGAGCCTGACCAGGTTGCCCTATGACTTACCTGCATATAAGTTTTTGGAGGATCCCAGGAGTCATGACAAGACCACCCGGTTAGCACGTGTATCCTTTTGCGGAAATGGGGTGGGATGCATCAGGAATACACGCACACAAACTAAGCAGTGCTGAGCTGTGGGGTAACCATGGTGTGAAATGTTGTTGACTCTGCTGGGGTGCAGCCTAATGAACTAGATCATAAATCATGAGCCTTTGGATTAATATCATGCACTGTTTGTACTATACATAAGTAGCCAAAATGCTACTTAAAAGTGAGTTTATTTACCTGTGTTAAATCTTACAGCAGTTTAAAAAAAGGTAAAATGCATCAATTCTGGATGAAGTAATAGATCTATAGGTACTTGCAGCAGGTCCAGGTCCCAGAAACAGCTGTGACACCCCCTGATGGCCTGGCAATCCCTGCCCTTCAGTTTTTGGGCTTCACCCTTTTCCTTGCATTCTTCACCCTTTTTTTGATGCTCTTTTGGTTTGAAAAGAGGTGGGAGGCTGCTCACAAGGACTATGAGTCCCTGGCCCTGGTTCCACCTTTGTGTCACTGAGTTCCTGGCTTTGTCTCTGACCTTCTTGGCAATAGACTTCTCAATCTAGGCACTCCTTCACAGTTGCCACCTGTTAGTGCTGTAAGCCCAGCCCCTAGCAGAGTTCAAGCAGTCACATGCCCCTCAAGCACCCTGGGACCTCCACCCTTCTTTGCTATTCCCAACCTGGTCCTCTAGTGTAAACTGCAAGCAAAAGTAAGCCCCTAGGCTATATCTGAAACTATAAACACTGTAGCTGCATAACACAGCTGAGTTCTTTTGCAAACTTACAGGCCTTATGGCATGCAGATTCCAGTCATTTATTCAGCATAGTCCTGTCAGTACAGAGTTCCTTCCCTGGCAGCTAGCAGAGCCAGACTACCCTCTGGCTCTGGCCCTGGGCATATATACTGCCTAAGCCTTGCTTCTTCTGGTCATGTGGTTTCCTAGCCTCCCACAGGTGTTTCTACTTTAGTCTGGCTGTCCTCCATACTGGCATACAGCTGCTAGGCTAGATGATGCGGCTGTGCCTCAGCTACACAAGGCTGGCTTTGTCCCCTGGTACTGTTGCATAGCTCCCAGCTCTGCAATAGGTGCTCTGCTGTCTTGGACTAATAATCCATAGCCTGTTTTGTGCATTGTCCTTGGATTTTGTTTCTAAACAGATTTAGTTGGCTACTTTATTTTAAATGTTAATATTCAAATACCTAATACAACCTGCACAGTAGTTTGTCAAATATTACAGGTTTCCCTCGGTGTGTTTTTTTTTGGTGCGGCTTCTTTATATGCAAATTTGCTCTTATGCAATGAGCATATTTAGACCCATAACTCATTATATATGAGGTAAATTCACTCTTATGTGATCAGCAGAGCCCCCCTGCCTCCCCCTCCCCCCAAACAGGTAAGTCTGTTGAGGGGAGGGCAAAGGGCCATGGCCCCACTCACCCCAGCCCCGGCTGCAGCGGCACCAGCCGCTCCTGGGGCCCGCTGCCTGCCCCGCTCCGGGGCCCAGCTGCCTGCAGCCTCTGGGCTGCACCATGCCCCGAACCCCCCAGGGTTCTTTTTCTGTCCCCATGCACCCTAGCTCTTGCTGCAGCTGCCCCGGGAACGGCCGATGCCAGCTCCTTGTAGCCCTGGTGCAGGCAGCTGGTGTCAGCTGCTCCTGGGGCCACTCCAGTACAGGCTGGGGTGAGCACAGACAAGCAGAGCCCCAGGTGGTGCAGGGCAGGGCACTCGCCCCAGCCCTGACTGCAGTGGCCCTGGGAGCTGCTGGTGCCAGCTGCCTGCAGCCACTGGGCTGCACTGTGTTCTGAACTCCCCGGGGCTCTGCCTGTTTCCACTCGCCCCAGCTCCTGCTGCATTGCCCTAAGAGTGGGCAACACTAGCTCCCTGTAGCTGCTGGGCTGCACCGTGCCCTGGTACAGGCAGCTGGTGCCAGCAGCTCCTGGGGCCGCTGCAGTCAGTGCTGGGGTGAGTGCTGTGCCCTGCATTGCCCGGGGCTCTGCTTGTCCACGCTCACTCCAGCCCATGGTGGAGCAGCTGACACCAGCTGCCTGCAGCCGGGCGGCTACAGGGAGCTGACATCGGCTGCTCCCAGGACAGCTGCAGCAGGAGCTGGGGTGACTGGGGACAGGCAAAGCCCTGGGGCGGGGTTTGGCATACGGTGCAGCCCAGTGGCTGCAGGCAGCTGGTGCCAGCAGTTCCGGGGGCCACTGCAGCTGGGGCTGGGGCGAGTGCCGTGCCCTGCACCGCCTGGGGCTCCGCTTGTCTGCATTCACCCCAGCCCACGCTAGAACAGCCCAGGAGCAGCCGACACAGGAACCTATCCCCATTTCTTACATTATAAAGTGGGTTCGCTTTATGCGAATTCGACTTATGCGGCATTCTTCAGGAACGCATGTACTGCATAAATCGAGGGAAACCTGTATTTCCACACATCTTAACCATAGTATAAAAGCTTGGCAGTAAGTGAAGAAAGTAATTTTAGCATAGGCATTTTATTGCCCTACACCAGTGGTGTTCTACCTTGTGACCCCCTGGGTTGGATGAGTGGTGCAGGGCTGATCCATGGACTGGATTCAGCATGGGCTTGGTGCATGAGCCTGGCCGTGTGTGCTGGATCTGAATCTGGGTCTTCAGGGTTCTCCAAGGGTCTGGAAATTTGGCAGCAGGGAAATGGCCATTAATGTTGTCACTGCTCCCCCACCCCCAACCTTTTGGACCTGTGAGGCACTCCATGGGCCAGATGATGTGGCCTTGTGGGCTGGAGGTTGAGCACCACTGCCCTGGAATATTGCGGAGGTGGCTTAATATTACAGAATTAAACATAGCTTGATATCTCTGTTTAAATAATCAGAAGATAATGCTAATACTCCCATCCTTACATTTAAAAGGCAACATGATATTGAGGTGAATGTGGCATTTTCTCTCTCCAATTTTTGAGATTTTTTTTTTTTTTAAAGCCTTTTTGGGAACACAGCATTCACTTGGATTAAGTATTTTATCACCATAGCCACAACAACTAGAAACTTTTTTTTTAATGAAAGCCAAAATCCTGGAGTACAACTGTTCCACTCTAGCTTTCCACAGTGCACAGCCACAGAATTTAAACAATTTCTTCCCCAGTTCTAATACTTAACTCAAAACATTCAGTGAAAGATGCTAAGGGAAGTGTCTGCTTTGTATTTCATCAGTTGTGACCTTCTTGGCAAAGAAGGTGTAATTCTATGCATCAACAAAGAGATTTGGAAAAAACATTAACTTTGACCCAATATGCACAAGTCTAAAAAGAACTAATACACTGGATATCCAAACATCTGGCAGCTGTACCTTTTGCAGGAGAATTCTTGGCATGTTGTGTGCCTCAAAATTTTTTTAATTAATTTTATTTGTATTGCAGCTGTAGCTAGAGGCCAGTAAAATACTAATTTATTCTGTTGTCCTTCTCTCTGTATAGAAGATCTAGCTCTTGAAGAGAGAACTTACTAGTTTCAGTCTCAGAATGATGCATCTTACCTGATCCTCCTCATCAATCTTTTGCTTTACCTGCATTATATTCAGAGGTGTTCAAAATTATACATTGTGGTTTAAATGTGAACACTTTTCTTATTACTATGCAAATTAAGAAATTACTAACATTACATAACTTGTTTTTAATTTGGTATTGTTTGAAAGCACTTGTAATATAAAGCTTGTAGGTAGGATTGCAGTGATTAACACAAACAGCTACCAGCTATACGGTGTGTATATATGTAGAGCAGTGCTTTTTGGCACCAAGGGGTTCCTTGAGATCCATTCAAAGGTGCCACAGGGTGCCATGCAATGTTAGCATTATGTGTAAACATGATTCACAAGATAAACTGAGATATTTCAAATAGGAATCCATAGTATTAAAAGCATTCTGACCTGGTGTGGTATTTGAGTTTTTTGCAGCAGAAAAACTGCTCTGTAATTCTTCTGTAGTCAAAAAATGAGTGAAAACTTAGAACTGGCATTTTTCCAGGGGTCTAAAAAGGGTCTAAAAAGGTTGAAAGTCACTGGTATAGAGGATCAGTGCTGTGATATTCCCAAAGAAAAGAAACTGACTGGAGAGAAAAACATTGTGCGTTTAAAATTAATTTTCTTTTACTAAAGCTCATTCTTTAGAGCCAAATGAAATAATACAAAAGGATGTATGCTGGCTCTGCTAGAATTTTATCATTTTAATTATATTCTTGGAAAATGTATGAAGCAGGGTTGTTAACAGATTACACTGTTTGTAACGGTTTAAATTAATTTAAATTATTTTAAATTATTTTATTATTATAACAGTTTAAATTATTTTTCTGTCATGTCCTCATGTGCTTTCCTTTTTTGGAATCTAGAAAGTACTATGTCCTGTCCTGTCTAATTTGTAGTTTCATTTTATCTAGGCCTATCCAACTCCAATGAAGAAAATGCATCCTGGAGAAGAAAGGAGGAAAATGTTTGAGGTATAAAGAAGCATATCTGCTTATTTTCAATCTCCATGAAAACCAAAACAAGAATGGAGAATTGTTTTTATATCCAAAATAAAACCATCAAACCTTTCCTCCTTATTTCTTCTCTCCGAACACTCTCTAACTTTAATGCCTGTGCCACTGGAGTACTAACTTTCTTGGAAGAAGTTTGAAAGTAACATGCACTAATAAATTCTAATTATGTTCTATTTTTCAGGAAGCTGCAAAGAAGAAAAGATTAGACTTACTAGAGAAGGAAAAACGACAAAGAGACCAGGTAGACAAGAATACCTTAGCTTTTTTGTGTTTGATAGTGATACCTTTATGAAATGTTCCTTTGTGCAGTACCTCGTTTAATTACCTCAGAATATAGAGCAGTCTGATTATTCCAGCTGTTCAAAATGTTTTATTCTTAAAATTTACAGATCAGTTTGCTGAAGGCTGAGCAGATGAGAAGACTGGAGAAGGAAAGGGTAAAATATACCTTGATGTTTCTTTTCAACAATCAAGTTTATTTTTCTTATTATTTATTTATTTTTTTAAAAAGCAGTGGATCCTTGAACATGTGTTTTTCCTTTTTCTTTTTTTTTCCTTTTCTCCAGATGGAACGAATAAACAGAGCCAGGGAACAAGGATGGAGAAATGTGCTTAGTTCAGGTGGAAGTGGTGAAGTTAAGGTTGGCAGCAGAATCAGAAATGTAGCGCAGCCTGTTCTCCCCCTTTTGGTCATCTTCCTTGGCACATTCTTTTTCTGGAAAAGACAGATGCCAGTTTAATTGTGGAACTGTCCCAGTATAAATCTACTGCCAGGCTGTATAACAGATTCCATTTGTATCCTCTGCCTTTTGACAAATTGAGTATACACTGTCCTGTATTTATCAGATTTCTTCATATTCCCTTTCTCTGGCAATAATGTCATCCTTCCTGCTTCTTATTTTTCTTTTCCTACTTCTACCTCAATCCCTTTTCTTGTGCTTAACGTATACATTTAACAACCTCTTTATTCAAATCCCCCCTTAACTTTTTGTTGTGATATTATCACCACAGTGAAAGTGCTCCATTTATTATATTTAAAATATTAAGATTGGCATAATTTCTTTCTTCTGTTCAAGTCTCTGCGAGAGGTAGCTTGACTAATGTATTGTTAGCAAATATTTGTGTGAAGATATTTCATAGGAAAGTTTTTAAGTTGAAGGTAAAGGTTTGCTTTTGTATCTGTTTCTGAAAATGGTAAGGTCCAAAGCTTTCTCTTGCAGGAGTGAATTTACAACTCTGTCTAACCCCTTTGCAGTGATATTTTTGTACATTTGTGGACCTTAACTCCCTCCATGGGAACACAACTGTTGTGGGAATTCATGGTCACAGAGGGGGAGTCTATCTCTAGATAGCTAATCTCATAAAGATAGTTCAGCATTAGCAGAAAAAATGTTGAATTGGTCATCACTCAATGAGAAGCCAGGTAAAAAAAATCAAAATGCTTAAATTGTTATGAACACCAAACCAGTAAGTGGATGGTGGTGTTTTCTACCAGTTAGAGATCTTTCATGTCATATGGTTTCACTGCTAGGTATGGTGAGTTGTATTAACCAAGTTTCTGGAGGAAGAGAGGATACTGTAAATGATATCCAGGTTTTGTATTCCTGTCCTTCAACAAGAACATGAAGAAACCACATGGGCTTGGCTGCATCCCAAATAATAGTTAAGACAATGCTTGTAAGAAATTGCCATATTAATACTGTTACTCTAGATTTCTGCTGTCTTCCAAGAAGCCTGAGCCCCACTAGAGAACTTACAAACTACTTTGAAATGCTTCTCTCATCCTAGCTGTTACTCATTCCAACTTCTTCAAATATAAATGAGTATAAGGTTACAAGTGTCTTGGTGTCAAAATTACTACTATTAAATATATAACATGCTTCATATAAAGTCTGAGAAATTATTTTACAACTTCTCTTAAGAGAATAGCTCAGGCATAATACTATTTCTGCCTCACTAAATACTTATCCTCTTCCTACTCTGTAGCCTTATAATAATTTATATTAGAAACCACATGAGACTCATTGGTACCATCACAATTTGGTGTCTATATTGTATTTTGCAAAAGGGTCATTGATCCAAATAGTCCTGGAAAACTTTGTACTCACAAATTGGTTTGAATGTCTTCTCCAAGGCTATATTTGATGCCACTTCTGTCCATTACAATAGATGACCAGTTTGTCATGTCTTTCACATTTCCACAAATTATTTTAACACAGTCTCTTTAACTAAAAATCCTTTCTTGCACAAAAACAGTGAATTCAGCTGCATGGTATTGGTGGTCTTTGGATCACTTTTTTTTCCTAAGGGTGTCCCTTTATAGATAAACATTTCACTTGGATTTTGTTAAGTTTGTTCCATAAAAAGTGCTTGCATCTCATTTGTAGTAATATAGACTGTCTTTTTATAGACAAAGACAATTTGCGGTCTTGTGCTTGTAAGTTACCTCTATCTAGAACAATACATTAAGTCCCTTGCTTGAATGTTTTGATCTATCTTTCCATTACCAAACAGCCACAGAATGGATTAAGGAAAACTGATATTACCGCTTTTTTTTTTTTTGGAACAATAGAAACTCTTTGGTTGTGAATTTACATTCTAGTGTCAGTTAAGTAGCTTCAGAAACTCAGTCTTGTTTAGATCAATGATCTTAGCACTGTGTTGAAGTAGTTGAATTCATGGTAAATAAATTATACCATATAAAATAAGGATCAACTGCATTTATATCCCATAAATGGTCCATGTACTCTTGTTTCACTGCCATGTAGTACTTGATCACTCTCAATAATGAAAAGGAAGCTTTTTATGCATGTGCTGTGACAACCTTAACATTGTTCTGCCCATTCCTACTTTTGTTTCCATCCCTGGCCATCTCACATAAATCCTGGCAACTATTTATTTTTGTAGCTCGCAACTAACCTTAATGTCATTCCTTGAGTAGGAGTCATCTGAACTTCATAAAGGAACAATCACACTTATGACATTTAAGCAAACTTGATGTACCCTTACCTATTTTTTTTTCTGAGCAAAAAAAGAAAGCTAAAACAGTTGTTCATGTGTATAAGTCCATTCATTCAGTCTGATTATTTATGCTAGCACTTAATCTTTGTTATGCTGTAGCAAGGTTTTAATATACTGTGCAGAACATACCAGCTGTCCCTTCTACCTCATTGTCTTGCCCAACTGCTTCCAGTGTATACCTATTAAACTAATGTGAGAGACTAATAAATAAAATGCGAGTTTTCCACAAAAATAACATTTTTAATTTCTTAATACAGTGCTTTTAAGAAAAGGGCACTTTGAGCATAAGTATTATATTAGAACAAATTGGGAGTTCTGAAGAAAGTTTAAGTTTTAATCTACTAAGGGTAATAGCACTGCCAGGGCTTGTTAGGACCAGGACTTGAGAGTTCTTTCTCTAATTCCCAGGCCCCTTTTTTTGGTGGTGGAGGGGGCGCTGGTCCTACACCGGTGCCTACTCGAGGACCGTATGAACACTACCATGCTATATTTGACCAGATGCAACAGCAAAAAGAAAACCTTCAAGTTGCTGAGGAGCGAGATACCAAATGGAGAGCAGAAATACAAAGTCAAGAACCTATTGAAAGGTACGAGTGCCTTCCATTAGAATTGTATATGCTCTGTTTTAGATGAAAGTAATGTAAGTTACTGTACATATTTATCTGCAGAGAAGCTTCACCTGCAATACATCCAGGAGTTCCTAAGGGGCCTGCAGGTCATCACCATTTACCTGATACTGATGCAGTTAGAAAAAAAATGAAAAGATTGAAGGAGGTGTCTAAACAAGCCAACGCAAACAGGTTGGAGTGTGATAATCCATAAATCTGTCCCTTCGTGTTAGATCTTTGTCCTGTGTCTTTAGTTTTAATACCTATTGACACTTTTCAAGACCATTTTTTATCTATTGAGACTGTTCTGTGTGTACCTGTGTGGGGCCCTCACAGACTACATAATCCTTTTGGAACCAATTGGTGTCTTAGTTCCCACTGAAGGTGGAAAACGTGTTTTTTGCATTTTGTCATCTCTGAGGAGAGCATACCATTGTTATTAGTGTTATATGGATAAAGTCAGTATCAAATCTACCTACTTAAAAGGTTACTTGGTTTTGTGGACTCGGTTTAATGTTTGTAAGCAATTACTAGTAACTGAATTTTAGACACAGAATTTTAAAGATCCTAAATGTAACCTACTGATTCAGTGACAGCCTGGATTAAGTCACAAACCTCTTCTTTTTCATAGTTCAGTTTTCTGTACCTGTTGCCCAGATCCATCCTTCTTCCTTCTTTTCACTGTTTGCCTTACCCTAATTGCTTCCTTGATTCACTACTGTTGAAGTATAACTATAAAACACACTTACCCTACTTCTGTAATGGTTTCTTGAGTTACTCTGACTAAGATGTGTTCTCAGGAGATGGCTTTTTGGGATCAATCTGAGATTGAAAGCATAGTTCTAATATTAGTGACCAGAGATGGGAAGACCCAGGTAACACTGCAAAAATGTGTTTGTCAGAAGTGGGTAGTGTTTTCTGTGTCAATCACAGGCATTTTTAAAAGCAAATTCTTAACTTCAAGCTGAGTAGGAGATTGCAACCATGTTTTTCTCAGAAATTCTGGTACTACCTCAGGTTATTTCTAAACCAGCAAATGGTATCTTACTTGTTAAGTAAAAAGTACGTGAACATAATTAACTAACCTAACTTTCTTTGTCAGTGTAAACAGGGTTATATACTTCTTTTAGTTAAATTAGGGAAGAACCATCCAGAATTGTTTTTTCACCCACTGGCCCCCGCCAAAGCTCTGTGGAAGTAGTAGGAGGAGGAAGAAAGCCCCCTGGCCTTCCTTTATTGTATTAGGGAAAAAATGGCATGTGATCAAATAATTCAAACTGTCATAATGCATGTGTTTAAGAGAGAAAATATAACTTGCACTTGCTTTCTGGCTCCTTAGTTCTAAAATTTACACTAGTATAATATTTTATTGGAATTGGCTTGCGTTACACTTTTATATATTGTTTGTGCTAGAACATGTGGTTTGCTGCATAGTAACCTGGGCCATTTTAGCATAGTTTTAAAAACTTCCTCCTGTACCCAATAAATGTGAGGCTAGGTAGTCCTATTTTGTGTATTACCAGATTTGGTAGATTTAGTTTTCCAACCTACTCTCATTCTGCTCCTAGTCCTGTCTCTATTTTTAAACACAACAAATACATATATAACATATTTTAATTATAGTTTTTTAAATAGCTGGACAGGGTTACATTACTATTAAGTTTTTAAAAGGTATTAAGCCTTGTAGTGTTTAAAAACTATCATTTTAAAAATGTTTGATATGGTTTTAAAATCAAACTTATTTTTCTAGTCTAGAGACTAGAAAACCTAAATACTAACATTGCTTATGATCTATTTTAGTTGATTGTGATCTACAGATCTTGATTTATTCACATGTGTATGTTTATAAATTGGATCATCTTTAGACTTAAACCCTAATATCTTCCCTTAATACAAAAGAATGTGTGAAGTGTTCAGGAGTTTTCTAAAAGCATAAGAGCTTCTTCCTGTAGTGGTATTTGCATTCAAGGTGAACAGTACATTTGGAGGGGGAATGTTTTGGTTTGAATAAGAAACTTGGTTCTAACTGTGGACCTTTTTTGTATTAACTTAAAATAACTATAAGAAGTTCAGAAATCAGTTGTAAACTTTCTTGTTGTACTGCTACATTTAGTGATACAAATACTAAAAATGAAAATTTTCAGCATTCTTTAAAAATAACTCTTGGACTAGAATATTTCAGGCCCAAAGTAAATTTGTGCGCACGCGCGCGCACACACACACACACACACACACCCCCTCTCCCTCCCTCCCCGGGTATTTACAACTTAAAAAATGGGCAAAATCTTTGGGACACTGAGAGATGCATTCCACTCTCTATAACTCTCTTTCCTTTCTTTACCCTTTGACCACTTGAACTGTTTGTCTGACAGAAGCCTGGGTTTTAAACACAGTTAAAGCTCCCTGTAGGATCCACTAAAGCCTGGTGTTTACTTCCAACTCCCCTTTCCCTGTCCCTTTTCACAGACCCTTCTCAATGTGTTCTTATGATAGGAAGCCATCTCTCCTACTGTTAGGGGCTATAAAAGAAGTTCTTTTGCAATGCAGATGAAGAGCTTTTTACAGTAGTTCTTTTCTTTTTAGAACCAGAAAATCAAGGTGACACCTCAAATTGAATTTTAACTCTTTTGTTTGTTAGTTAAAGTTTATCATCGTAGTATAGCTGACAAAATTCTCTGGCTAGTAATAGGGGATTAAGTTCATATTTGTCAATCTTGTGGACCTGTATTTTCACACTATTATGCCTTACTACAGAATATACTCTACTTTTACTTTGTGGTAGGCCAGGAACATTACCAATATAGGATTCTGTTTCTTGGCCTCCTAATGAACCTATGAGCCAAGGCCCTTGCAGTAATGAAGGAGCATAATCCCAAAGAACTGGCTGCTAAAGGTTGATTCGTTTAAACATGTGACAAAACCTCCACGCCATACTATGTGCATTTGGTGTCTTGCGTCTAAAGGTGAAACCCCAGAAAATTAACCGGTTCAGAGTTTAGAGGGTGGAATATATAGAGGCCACTCTGGATTCTATTGCACAGAGCTTACTTTCTTCATGATCAATTCCATTCCCTCTTGGAATCCATGTTGGTGGAGGCCAGCCTGACTTCAACTAGCTATCTTGGGTCACATGGCCTATGCAACACCGCTACTAACAAGAAGGCGCAAATTCTCTCTAGTGTTGGAAAGTGGTCAGTCTACAGGACTGGTGTTTGTTTCCAGAGCAGCTGCTGTTTCTGCACATCTTTCAAGTTTTAAAATATCACAGTAAACAGCCTTAATAGATGCATCTCCGTGTACTACAGTACAGAGGTCCTTTTTTTTTTTTTTTAAACTGTAGCATTCCGAGATGAAACTTTTTTTATTCAGGCATGAACAAGAAGTGCTGGCTTTCTTGCTTCAGCATAGAGCTCATCTTAAGGTCACTGTGTGATGCCTGCCTCATCCCATGGTTGGAAGAAACTCTTATGACTTCTCACCTGTAGTCCTAATTCCATAAGTGGTAACGCAATGGCTCATACTAGCCTCATCCTGTCCAAGGCCCTTCTGGTTCCTCCAGTAGAAGTCAAAATGACCATATATGAAGGGAAAACATTAAAGGTTTTAATTGTCCTTGATTGAAAAGGACAGTTGTTCAAGTAATTAGTTTAATTGCAAAACCAGTATTAGCGGACCTTTTTTTGCAGCTTGCCAGGGTAGATGACTGTACCACCTCTGGGGGAAGTCTGTTCCAAACCATCGGCACTTGACTTGTAAAGAAGTTTTTCCTTATGTCTAGCCTGAAGCAATCTTCAATCAGTTTATGCCCATGATTTCTTGTATTTCCTGGGGGGGCCTTGGTGAATAGATGCTTCCCCAAGCCCTGATGTATGCCCCTGATATACGCTGCCACCAAATCCCCTCTGAGTCTTCTCCAGGCTGAACAGTCCTAAGTCTTGCCTTTCTTCGTGTGCTAGTTCTTGTGTTAGTACACTTATTTTGAATGTCTCATTCTGAAACTTTCAACTTGCTATATGTTGCAATTACTCAGGCAAAAAGGATGGGTAGCTGCAGAAAGAGCAAAACAAGTTGAGGAATTCTGGCAACGAAAGAGGGAAGCTATGCAAAACAAAGCTCGTGCTGAAGGACACATGGTATGGAATTTGTCTTCGTATTTCTTTTACAATTGTAAACTTTTTTTTTTAAGCATACACTAGCTATACTTATTTTAATATTAATAGACTATGACAAAGTGAGAAAAATGTGTTTTTATTTTTAACTTCCTTTGATTCAGTTGTATTGGTAACATGAAAAAATTTTAAAGGTATTTTATTTTTATGATAATCTAATAAAAAGGCTGCATGTTAATGGATGCTGAAGTTATACATTTTAAAACCAAATTGAGAAGTATGTCCATTGATCTTTACCTATTTAATCATAAGAGCTCCCTATGTGTTGTTCACTAGCTTACAGTTACGATGTTTGTCAAATTACTGTACCTCATCCTACACTTCCATGCTTTACAAAACACTGATGAAATTGTACTGGCTATGCTCTAAACATGTTTTAACTCTCATTGTCAGAGTTAAAATTGTCAAAGTTTTGGGGTTTTTTTTTCCCAGTTTTGCATTTTGTTTTGGTTTTTAAATCTTCCTTGAAGGTTGAAAAGTACACACCTTTTTTTCCTGTCCAACTATTCTATTAATTATACATTTAATATTCTTAGGAAGCCCTTTCACCATAGTAAATTTTGATGAAATAATTTTTATACTAGCCAATTGCTTGTCAGGAATGATGGGGGGGAGGGGGGGAGGCGTGTACAGACAGAGTGCCACCACCCTGCGCCGCCACCACTTCCCAGGAAGGAGTCGGGGGAAGAGGGGGGCTTGCCCTCCCGTCCCCCTTGGCCAGCACCCCATGCTGCCTCCAGGGAGCAGGGCTGCGGGGGTGGAGTCACGCCAGAAGCGCTGGCCTCATTCCCCACCCTGCTCCGTCCCCACTGTCACGGCAGTGCGCTGCCACTGCTTCCTGCCCGGAACACTCTTGGAACGCTCGTTTCAATCAGCATTGTGATTGGCTGTCAAGACAACCAGTCAAAGTGCAAATAAAATGTTACAGATAGACAGACTAAGGCTTTTATTATATTAGAATACATAGGATTTTAATTGTTCAGTTGAACTGCTTTGTTGTTTTCCTTAAGATTCATCCATACCACAAAAACACCCTTAACCAGGTGATCCAGTTACAACAATACACAGATGATTCCACAGTAGACTGGGTAGCAAATTGGCTCAAGGGTCACACTCAGAGGGTGGTAGTGGATGGGTCAGTGTCAGCCTGGAAAGATGTGGGCAGTATAATCCCTCAGGGCTCAGTTCTGGGGCTGGTGCTGTTCAACGTCTTCATCAGTGATCTGGATGAGGGGGTGGGAAGTGCCCTGTCCAAATTCACAGATGACACAAAATGACAGGGTGCAGCTAACACTCTGGAGAGGAGGAACCAGATCCAGGCCGACCTAGACAGGCTGGGGAAGTGGGCAGAGAGCAACAGGATGCAATTCAATAAGGACAAGTGCAAGGTGCTGCATCTAGGGAGGAAGAACTGCCATCATGTGTACAGGCTAGGGGGCAACCTTCTCAGCTCCACTGAGGCAGAAGAAGATCTTGGAGTCACTGTTGACTCCAGGATGAACATGAGTCGCCAATGTGATGAGGCAGTTGGTAGAGCCAATCATGCCTTGTTGTGCATCTGTAGGTGCTTCACAAACAGGTCCAGGGAAGTGATTCTCCCTTTCTATGCGGCACTGGTCAGACTACAGCTGGAGTACTGTGTCCAGTTCTGGACACTGCAGTTCAAGCGGGATGCGGACAATCTGGAGAGGGTCCAAAGAAGAGCCACTCGCCTGATTAGAGGCCTGCAGGGAAGGCCCTACAACAGGGGCAGGCAATTATTTCAGGCAGAGGGCCGCTTACTGAGGTTTGGCAAGCCATCGAGGTTCTGCATGACAGGCAGCCAGGGGCAGATAAATATTAATTTTCTAAATTTTTAGGGGCTCCGAGGGCCGGATAGAATGGCCTAGTGGGCTGCATCCAGCCTGCGGGCTGCATTTTGCCCACCCCTGCCCTACAGGGAAAGGCTAAGGGACCTTAACCTCTTCAGCTTCTCCAAGAGAAGGCTGAGAGGGGACTGTACAAATTCATAAGGGGAAAGCAACATGAAGTAGGGACGATCTGTTCACCAGAACACCCCCTGGAATGACAAGCAACAATGGCCATAAGCTACTAAAGAGAAGGTTTAGGCTGGACATTAGGAGAAAGTTCTTCATGGTCAGGGTTGCCAGAATCTGGAATGGGCTCCCAAGGGAGGTGGTGCTCGCCCTATCCTTGGGGGTCTTCAAGAAGAGACTGGACAGGCACCTGGCTGGGATCACATGACCCCAGGGTTGGTGTTTCCTTGCCTGCCAGGGGCAGCGGGTCGGACTAGATGGCCCACTGAGGTCCCTTCTGATTCTAGGACTCTATGAATAATATTGACTCTTGGGTGTGCTGGAATTGGTTATAGTTGTCAGGTTGACAAGAGTGTTGAAACTGGATCCTATTACTTGGGTGTATTTACTTATAGAGCACTGTGGAGTGACCACCTTTTTCTGTAGGGCTAATTTCACTTCCAGTAATCATATGTGAAAAATCTGCACCCTCACATTCAAGCATCTAAGAATCCTGACAGGCTTTATTCAGTGCATATATCTTAAAATATAAGTTGCCATCTTTCAAACAAAATCTCTTGAAATAGGAGATTGCTTTGCTAACACACATGCTTTCATTTAGTGGAAAGTTTATCTCCATTTCATTCATGGTTAAGTTGTTGCTTACCTTGGGATAAGAGTAGATAGACTAAAGTTATAACGGAGCAGCTGATTCATACTCCTAAAAGACAAGTCATCTCCTTATCCCCAACATATTATAGTGTTGTAATCATTTATGTGTAAAACTCCCTAAATCTGCTAGAGCCTGTATCTAACATCTTTTAGACCCAGGGAGGGTAAAATACAGCCCATAGGCCAGATCCTGCCCACCAAGGTATTTTGTCTGGCCTACAGCAGGTCCCTTGGCCCTACCCAACCCAGTGTAGCTGGCAGCCTGGGTCATCCCACTGCCCCGAATTTCCTGGCAGCCCCAGTGGTGGCTCTTTCCAGCTGCTGCTCCTGACCCTGCCACAGGTTGCAGCTCTGCCCCAGGCTCTATCCCCATACTATTACCACCCTGCAATTATAATCCCAGCCCTGGTCCTGCCTGCCCATCCCACTTCCAGATGCAGCTCCCCACTCAGCCACAGCCCCATTCCAGCTGCCTAGCCTCATGTGGGGGCCACTTAGGGAATTCTTTTTGGTGGTGGAGGGGTGCTGAAGACTTGGCCTGTGACAGCTCACTTAAACTTCTTAAGTGGCCTTCTGGCCAAAATAGTTGCCTGCTCAGATTTTAGACCCAATACCTTCAGTCAAGTATTACCCAGGGAAAATTACATTGCAAGTTGATGTATATGGGAATTTGAAATGGTTGAGCCTCTGCAGCTTAGACCTCTAAATTTCTGTCAGTGGGTACATCTAACTCAGTTAGTGTGTGGAGTTCTCTTTGGCACTTATGGCTGGACCTTACAGATTTACAAGTTGATTACTGACCTTGAAGTAATAGATCTGGGTTATTTAGCTCAACTAATGAAAATGTATGCATGAGATAGATTAACAGTGTAAAAGTTATTTAAATTAGAAAGCAGGAAACCTTGATTTCAATCATCAATTTTTAATCTTGTTTTATATTATGCTACTTTTTTTTTCTCTCTCTTAAAGAGAGGTGAATTATGATTTATCAGTAACCATTAAGACTGATAAATTAGCCCTTACATTTAAATTTGATTTCTTTTCTTGTGATCCAGGGCATACATCATATTCATGCACTTATCGAACAGTTTCATGCTTTATACATGTAACTGGATTCTTAGTTTTTACATGTATTTTATTAGAAAAATGGTAATTCATCTGTTTTTTCCACCAGTTATTTGTGTCAAGGTTCATTTTGCATAAAGATCGATATTTAATTATTGCACAAAAGCAGTATTCAAAATGAATGAATAAATAAAACTACCTTAAAATGTGCCACGTAGATAAAAATACTCTAAACGTTTTTGTCATTTAAAGCTGATTTATTAAACAAATGAAATATCTATTATGAGGAAATTATAAGTAATTGTTCCTGGCTACCAGGTCCTTCATGATTTTTGAACTAGTACATTGAAACTTTTTTACATCTAGCTTTATTCATAGATTAGGAGAAGGTAGCATTCTTTCTTAATTTTTTCAGTTTTCAACTGGATTGGACCCACGGACTAGCCCTGGATTCTGGGTCTAGCACATCATGGAGTGGGTGCCCTGTGCAGCACAGTCCTGCTCTGGCCACTTCAGGGCCATGTCACACGTAGCAGCCACTCTCTCTCTCTCTCCAGGACGTGAGCTGGAGGAGGTGCTGCACGTGGTGAGCAGAAGCTGTCCAGTGCCCCCCACATGCTGCCTGTGGGTCAACTCCAAGAGGCCGTCCAGTGCACCCCACATGCTGCCTGTGGGTCAACTCCAAGACCCACAGGCAACACCAGGTGTTAAGTGCTAATGTTCCACTGGCCAAATTTGGCCCGCGGGCTATATCTTTGACATCTGTGAAATAAAGGAAGTATTCTCTGCCCTTGCAGAAGAGGCTGCTTTTGTCAAAAGCTGCTTTTAGCTCTTCAACAAGTTCTTGTTCCTTACTTAGTTCTACTAGTTCTGTGATTTGACTTATTTTTAATTTCAGCAAAAATACACTGTTAAGTATTAATTTTTATTTAAAATACTTGTGTGCAATAAGTGTAGGCCTTAATGCACATTATTCACCATCTTAATTTACATTCTTTTAAAAAAAAGTGTTACATTTAAACCATATTTTATTTAAACTAAAATGTTTCTTATAACTGAATTTCCTATTCACTCTTCTTAATCTTCTAGATTCCAAGGGGCCATGTTTGATTCCGTCTACTAATGTCCCACTCCAGAACATTTCTTTACAGATGCTTCCATTTTATTTTAAATTTTTGTTTAGAAAAATGAAACACTATACAATAAATTGTCTGCCCTTTCCAATAAGAATTATAATTTTTCTTTTTAAGTTGTAGAAGTCAAAGTAACTTTGACAAACATTAGTTTTTAATAGTGTATATGTTTTGGTAGCAGGAGAATGAGGTTGAGCCTTAATATTTTTATAAACTTTCATGATTTTAATTAGTGGGGTTTTTTTAATTCAACTGTTCTTAAACACCTTCTCTCAAAACTTGTCCAACTTTGGCACTGTCTAAATAAAGTATTACTATGCTGGGTCTTGATCTGTTGAAGATCTAGTAATTTAACTTATAAACAAGATTGGTAAGTTCTCCAAACTTGAAGTTGAAGTGGTATTCATTGGAGATATGTCTATGCCAGCCAGGCCATTTAACTATAATATTGGTCACATTTACTCTTCAAAACATCTGGCTCCCTTTACACAATTTTGACTCCTTTCTAATTTAAAGCATCACAATGTATTTGATTTAGCTTTTGTTAATTCTAGTAGAATCAGTGTAAAAAGCAGATTTTGTTATACTTTTTTCTATCATTGTGTTTGCAAATATGAAAACAAACATTTTAATTGGAGTCAGTGCTTTAGTAAACTAAATCAAGAAGTGTTTGTTATTTTTAATATTCATTTTGCATGTAAACATTTTGATGTGCAGGACAGCAAAACATGGTCTTAGCGTTCACTTTGCAGTGTACATCAGTGTAATACATTCATGCTGTGATAAGTATTTTAGAGCAGTTTGTTAATAGTTTAACAAATACTCATTGAAATATTAGCATCTAATATTTTATGTTTATAAGAGTTAAAATAATTATGTATTCTAAACTTGTTAAAAAACGCATTGGCATTAATTGGAACGCCAACTATGTGCTACAATTATACGTTAAATCAAAAAAAAAAAGTACTCAGTCGCCCAGAATTTGCAGTCCAAAATACGAAAGACTAGATTCACTGGGAGACCAAAAGAAGTTCAGTTTGAATGAGAAAAATATTTATTAGAATGTTCTTGAGCTTTCTCTTTGATTACTCAACCATTTTAAATATTACTGTAAAACATTTCTTGTAAACAAAAGGTTTGTCAGTGAAGTTTGTAAGAGCTGCATTCATGTTTCATATAAGAACTTTAATCCAGTTGTTATTGGATAAGATAGAAAATGTTATAGCCCCAGCCATTCTTAAATTTGATACATTAAATGGTGAACAGGGTACACTACAAAACGTGGCAGCTATCTATGGAGGCAGGTCCAATTCTGCAAGAGGAAGGAAATCCAGAAACAAGGAGGAAGAGGTATGCTTGCCGCATGTTTGCCACCTTCATCACACAAATAGCATCACTTGACTTTGACTCTTCCTTGTTTTCCTGCATGGTTTGTATGTAAAACTCGAAAAAGGGCTTCATAGATTCCCCAGGGATATTGGATCCAATCCTAGATTTTAGTATTTAATAATTGTACAAAATACCTACCAAAAGAGTTTTATCTCAAAATATTAATTTACATTTGCTTGTTAAACAGAATGTATACCATCAAAAAAAAAATTACCACTCCCCTACCCTAACCCCATTATATTGCATATATCTACTAGTTCCTTTAATTCTACCAATGTTATGGTAATTTAGTATTAAGGAACCTAAATTTCGTTTTTTTAATTCTATTAAAGAAAAAAATATAGAATTTCTTTTAGAAATAAATAATAAGTTAGCAGTATTTTTCCTTTATTTCATTTTTTGATTCATTTTTTTTTTTTGTACATGTAATATGCTGGTATCCTTCTTATTTGAGACTTGCTTCCTTTGTTTTCTAGGAGTATTTGGCAAGATTAAGGCAGATTAGGCTTCAAAACTTCAATGAACGTCAACAAATTAAAGCAAAACTTCGTGGAGAAAAGGTTGGTTGAAAAATAACACCAAGGCTTTCAGGAGTTGTCAGTGAAAGATGTTCCCTGATATGGCTAATTAAAAATTCTTCTGGTAGATATATAATTGCTTATAAAATACTGTTAGGGTGCATTTCCTGTGTTCAACCTCTATAGATAATCATTTCTTTTTCATAAGATATAAACAAAAATAAATTTAGCACTTGAGCGGAGTGAGTACAAAAACTTTCCTGTTTTAGAAAAATAGAAACATGCAAATGAGAGAGAAAAAAAACGGTCCTAGACGACCAAAAAAACCCTTTTAAATTGCAATTGCTAAAGCAGCACAAAACAGCTAAATTTGCATTTCTTGCGGATGCCCAGTACCTCCAGCTCCATGTTGCCCACTCATGCATATCCTGCAGCTTGGCCCCTTCCTGGCCATGTGCCTCATAGTGTATGCACAACCACCACCACCATGGAACCTGGCCAAGGCTCCGGAGCCTATTGCAGCTATTTGCAGCCTCCTGGCTGCCTGCCATAGTTGGCCCAGGCTCTGGGCAGCTGCAGCTCTGGCATGCGTGCCAGGAGTTGCCAGCCCCTGCTTTATATAATTCATATTGAGTATAAATAACTTTTGAGTTTAAAAACAAAACTGTGTATATGTGTGGTGGAGGGGAGGATTTTCAAAATTAAAATCAACTTCTTCAAAGTTTTTTAAGTTAAGTTAACTTGTTCTGAAACCCCCTTTTCTCAGAATTCATTTGAGTGGCCTTTGGCTTTGCACCTAGTGCAGTGTGACCTTAATCTTAATTAATAGCATGAATTCTGAACTAACAAACTTTCCCCCACTAAATTATCAGTACTTCACTGTCTTCCTCGGTATATTTGCAGTTTTTATATCGTGTTCTTTTACACTATAAGTCTTTAAAAGTGTCATCAATAGATAAAAGCGGTAATTGATGTTTTTAAACTGATTTTAATTGAGGGCTGGAGCAGAACTTTCTTACATTAAATGTTTGCAGCCCAGTCTCTGGGGACTTTCAAGAGGTGTCTTTGTTCTATTAAAGATTTATATTATATTGAGATAGAAATATACTTTAGTGCTGGTGCATATGTTTTTCTGATTGGAAAGTGTTAATTATACAAGTATAAAAACTACCAGTAGTGATGTGCACCTTTTTGCTTTTGCTGGCTGTTGTCTGTTTGGAACTGGGGGCTTATTCCTTTAAAATATATATAACTCTGGAAAAATCCATGGAAAAGAATTGTATTATAAAAGAAACTGCCAATGCAAAGCTGAGGTTGTGCAGTTTGAGCTTTCAATCCTACCTTTTATATTTGTTAATCTCATCTCTGGGGAACATGCATTAGGATACTTCCTTCATTTAGATGTGCTCTCTTGAGTGGTCATACCAGATTCTGGAAGGTGCTAGCCAGTTGTAACTCGCATAATAGAACCTTAATAAGCAACGCCTGTCAGCACAATCTTACTTCCCCTTCCTATTCTTATCCTCCTTTTTACTGAATATACCATAGGCAATGCTGTAAGAGTGTGTAGGACAACCCTTGCTTCCTTTCATCTGGCAGTAGTAACAGATCAGGAAAGGGAAGATCAGGAAGTGCTCGGTGCTTTAAACCCTTTTATCTTACTGCTTATCTCCAATAGGCAACCATTAATCCTCTGGATCAGCATTTCCCAACCAGTGTGCAGTGGCGCACTGGTGTGCCGCATAACTTTGGGCTAAAGCCACGCCCTCTGCTGGCTAGAGCCATGCCCCCCCAACTGCTGCTGCCATGGACAGACAGATAGAGTGGGGTCATGGATCCAGCCATCTGTGCGCCATGTTCGCCCCCTTCCGCTGCCGCTGCGGGCTCTTTGGGACAAATTCTAAATCCTACAAGTTATCAGGATCTATCAGTTATCAGGACTCATGGTAGAGGTGATATTTTTTATTAGACCAACTAGATTTTTGCCAAAAAAATTCTTTAATTGCAAGGTTTGAGGCACAAACCCTTCATCTGGCTTTGGAGAAAAAATTGTAAAAGTTTTTTCCTGGGTATAAATGAAAGCTCATATTTCATAAGAGAGTTGAAGGTATGGTAAAATCTCATTTGGAACAGTTCACTTTAGATGCAGATTAGGCTCAGAGAAAAGTTGGAATAGTCTGTTTACCTTGAAGTTGTTTGGTGATCATACAAACAAATAAAGTTAAGATGCTCTTTAGTTCAACCAGAAAGACGATAATTCTTTCTGGCCTTCATCTGATGAACCTGTCAGCCAACATTGATTTGCTCATTCTTCAAGGAACTCTTATTTTGTAGAATGATTCTGGCAGTTCTGACGGACAAGAAACAAGTGAAGAAGCAGAATTGAGACTCAAGAAAATTGAAGCACTGAAGGTAATTGAAAAACATTACAGTAAATTATTTAAAAAACATGTATTTCATATTCTCTTATCTGAACTGATTTGGGCCATGAAGAGGCATTCAGTTTCTCCTGGGACAGTCACTACTTTCAAGAGAAACCATGAGTGTAGAGATGTTCCTGCTTTTTCTCCCAAAACAAAAAATGGCCACTCCAAGAAAAAAAAAACCTGGGAATATATAGGGATAAATCAATCCTGGGAGAGTTTGTTCTGTGAGAGCAAATGTCTGTACAACTTACTGGGCTAAAGGCACATAGTGGCCTTATTTTAAAATTAGTCATTTTCCATCTGCAGTAGTTGTTTCATTGTAATGTTTTTGATACTTCCATAAGTAAATATAGGTAATACACTAAATATTAGTACATATTTTCCTGTATCAAAATATGTATTTCCTACAAATATGCACAATGAATAGTTCTCAGACTCATTAATCTCAGCTGAAATGAATCATTCAAATTCATTCTTTCAGTACAGACATTGTTTGATGCTGTTTGCAGAAGATGGAGCCATAAACGCTTTATATTATATTGCAGTGTCAAAGCTGTTAAAGTTATCTATCCCTTAAATACTAAAACCCATTTTGGTCATGTTATGATCTGTTTAAAATGAAATTCATTTTGACTGACTCTTCTCTCATGTTTGTCTTGGCCCTGAAGACAATTTGTTATAAGCAAGATGGATTGGAGTTGATGTGGGAAAGAAAGGAGAAAGAGTGCACCATGACTACTTCATTTATTTTTGTTAGTTTTATATTAACTAAGTAAGGGCAGGGAAAGA